TTTTTTTTTTTTTTAACTTTTGTGCAGACTGTCCAAATTAGTGAGCATTTCAAGAATTATCATCATAGGTAGGGGGTATATTATTATCTGAGCTAAATGTTTGTAGTCTTACAGTTTAGGTTTGATGTATGCAGGCAATATAGTTAAATAATATGGGAAAAAATATCACTGATCCTCAGAGTAATTGGTACAAGTTCACCAAAAAAAAAAATGATTTTTATGGATAAGCACTATTAATGTAATATTTATAGAGATGTTGAATGTCACGTGTATTAGATCAACCTTAAATTGTATGTCATTTGCACCAGAAGATAATATTATGCAAATAATTTGTTGGAGGTTTCATTGTGAAGAATTTTTATATTCTTAAACAGCTGTAATTCTCATCTTTGAAGTAATTTACTCAAAGATAGAATATTAATGTGGTGAAGTAACAAAATATAACAAGAGTTAAAATATTGAGGGCTGGGCACTATACTCAAAGAACATACACTCAGAAATGAATTAGGGATGGGATACTTGTGTCTGTTTCCTCAAATTGTCCAAATTCCACATCCTTCCCATAGAGTGAGCTTTTGCCGTACCACGTAGACTTCTAGTGTTTCAAAGACATAGATTTTTGTGTGCATGGTGCGTGGTATTCTTCTTACCATATATGGTATGTTATTGATTATGTTTTACATTTATATAAACATTAATGACCAGGATCATACAAAACAGGCATAACCAGTTATGCTTTCCTCTACGGACAACTTAAGGGATTTTTCAAGGGTGATTTAGACTTTGGCTTTCATGCTGACTCTAGAACTAAACCCCAAAGTAAGGTGTATAGTGACTAGAAGTGGCTAAGATATCTTTAGAAATGGATTATAAGACATTGAATCTAACAGTACTTCACCCTGCAAACAGGGATGTTTGGAGGGAGAGGGAGGGAAGAATTTATAAAAGAAATCTCTTTAGAGCTAAATATTATTTAAATGGATTAAAGATCTAAACCTAAGACCTGAAACTGTAAAACTCTTAGAAGAAAACACGGGAAAATCTTGATGACCTTGGATTTGGCAAAGACTTCTTAGATATGACACCAAAAGCACAGGCAACAAAAGCAAAATTAGACAAATAGGACTACATCAAACTTTAAAATTTCTGCACAACAAAGGAAACAATCAATAAAGTGAAAAGGCAACCTACAGAATAGTAGAAAATATTTGCAAACCATATATCTGATGAAAGGGTAATATCTAGAATATAGTTGAATATTTGCTGCTAGATAAAGCTGTTTTGTTTGCTATAGCTAATATGGTTGATCTATATTACTGCATGCAACTGTAAGAATATTAATATAGGTCTATAGTCTTTAGTTATTATGTTTTGAGAATAGCCCCTGTGGGCATTTCTTTTCTGTGGCAAATATGGGGTAAAATCCTAATGAATTGCCTACATCTGCTAATTTAGCGGTAAAATTTTGAATCATTGGAACCAAAGTTAAGCTTTTCTCAAGTAGTAATTTTGAGTTTATTTTAGCAAGATATTTTCATGTTTGTTTTTGTTTTTGTTTTTGTTTTGCCCAGCAATCTATATACCCCTAGGCCTCTTTGAGTCCTGATCCCTTTCATTTTGCTAAAATTCATTTAACTTTTTTCAGTTTGGGGGCATTGATCTCTGTGATAGAATGGGTAACACCGACTTTGTAGAAACAATCTCAGTTTTTCCTACATAGATTACCCATTATGTAGCATACAGAACACTCCATGGTGGTGAAAACTTAGTTTTGTAGAGTGAAGTTTAACTGTACTCATTGTTTTTACTTGCATGTTGCAGAAACAGCCACTTTAAAACATTTGTTTTATTTTATTCTATTTTATTTGAAAGAGTCCCTGTGAGGACAGGGGCTCTATTTGATTGTTTATTTGCCTTTATATTCCAGCCCCAAGTACAATACGTATATATTATAGGCACTCAAGAAATACAGTATTTTTGGCCATGTGCGGTGGCTCATGCCTATAATCCTAGCACTCTGGGAGGCCGAGGCAGAAGGATTGCTTGAGCCCAGGAGTCTGAGGTTGCTGTGAGCTAGGCTGACACCACGGCAGTGTAGCTCAGGCAACAGAGTGAGACTTGTCTCTAAAAAAAAAAAAATAAAGAAATGCAGTATTTTGGAAGGGAGGGAGGAATACAGCCAGCAAGCAAACAAGGTTTTAATGCAATTTTTTTCGGCTAGATAATGCATAGTATGTGGCTGTGTGCCCACCTTTTGAAACATTTTCAACTGCTTAAAGAAGTATCTGTTATTCCTTACTGGGCATGTTAGGCCTTCTTTAAGGTCTTTACTCTCAAATTAGTGCCTCTAGCATTACCTTTCCTTTATGGCAGTTTTGAAGTAACAGACAGAAGGCAATCGGATTAACGAATCTGAGGTACATAAATGGAGCCTGTAGGAGATTAATGTTCAAACTTCATATACCTTTTAGATGCTTTTAATCCTTACTGTTGAAATACTTTTCTCCCTCTTTATTTTACTGTTTCTAATTGAAATCTTTTTTCTACAGCCACAATACCAAGACAACCACCTGGTTGGATCCTCGTCTTTGTAAGAAAGCCAAAGCCCCTGAAGACTGTGAAGATGGAGGTAGTGACTCAGAAACCTTTTATACCGTAGTTATTCTCTTAATCCCTCCTTGCTCTTCTTGCTTAGATAGTGAGTTTTCCAAAACCCTAAACAAATCATAATGTACAGAAGCACATAAGCAGTGGGTGGGTATCGCAATCAGCTGACTATGGTAATTATGTCATTACATCTGATTTCATGAGAGATTTCATTTCTCTCTTTTTGAGGATTACATAATTCTTTTTCAAAAAAATCAATAAAAATAAATTTGCCCTTTTTTTTGACATGTGTTCTGAAGACAAACTTTTAAAATTCTAAATAAATATCCAATAAATTACGCACATTCTCAACTACAAAGTAGCTTTATCATTTCTGTCGAACTTTCAAAAATATATTTCATTTAGTATTAATATATACTACAATAGATATGTTAGTATCTATGGCTATTCCTTTAGCCATTTAGAGCAGCACTGGAAACTCAAGGTCTATGGTATACCCACTCACACATAAGAAGTTTTTACTTCTTAAAGGAAAAATTATTTCTCTAAGAATCATCAGATAATAGTTCTTACCTGTGTTATATAGATTCTGCTTGATAGTATAATTTTGTTAATATGTATAGAATTTATTCCATCTAAAATTATTTGCTATGTCTTCTTCTTAAACACAGGGTACTGATGAATATAATTTGCATTTGTTTTGTATGACTAATCAGTATTAATTGATTAAAAAAAAGAGTGGCTTAGAATGAAGTTCGTGATAATCCTCTTTATATTGAATTTGAATCTATAAAAAATACTAAACAGAATTTTCACGTATTTTGTTCTGCGTGATTATAATATTAAGAGTTTTTCCAGGAATAAACAATTAGAAAATGGAATTGTGTAGAATTCTATTTACAATGGTATCGAAAGAGTTGTATACTTTGGAACAAATCTATTGAAAGATGTGCAAATTCTCAACACTGAAAAGTACAAAACATCATTGACATAAATTAATGACGACCTAAAATAACTGATGAGATATACTATGTTCATAGGTTAGATGATACAATATTATTGATGATGTGCATTTCCCATAAATTATTGTCTAGATTCAGTACAATCACAATCAAAATCTTAATGGGCTGTTTTGAAGAAATTGACAAGCCAATTCTAAGATATATATGGAAATGCAAAAGTTCTAGTGAGGCAGACAACCTTATAAAAAGACAAAGTTGAAGAATGTAGGCTACCAGATTTGAAAACTATATAGCTACAGTAATCAAGACAGTTTGGTATTGTCATAAGGATGGACAAATTGTGGAACAGAACAGGGAGTCTGGAAATAGATGCACACGTATGTGGTCACTTGATTTTCAACCAAGGTGCCAAGTCAATTCAGTGAGGAAAGAAAAGTATCCTTAACAAATCATGCTGGAACAACTGGATATTCATGTGGAAAAATGAACTTCAACTATATCTCACTCCATACAAAACAATTTCAAATGGATCAAAGACCTAAGCATAAAAGCTAGAACCATAAAGCTTTTAGAAGAAAATATAGGAGAGTATCGTCATGACTTTGGGATTGGCAAAGATTTATTATATAGGCCAGTATAGTCATACCATATGAAGTGTGAACCATAGAAGAAAAATTGATATATTGTACTTAATAAAAATTTTAAATTTCTATTCATCAAAAGTCACCGTTAAGAAAATGAATAGACATAGTCACAGATTTTGCAATATATATTTGACAAAGGAATTATATCCAGAATCTATAAAAAAATGGTTTACAACTCAATAAGACAACCACATTTAAAAATTGGCGAAATATTTAAATAGACATTTCACCAAAGAAGATATACAAATGGCCAATAAACACATGAGAAGATACTAAAAATTATTAGTCATAAGGGTAGTTGGCAATAAAAACCACAATGAGATACTGCTTTACACCCACTAGAATGACTATAATGAGAAAAGACAGATAATAACTAATGGGATGGGGAGAAACAATAACCATTGTATATTCTGGGCCATTGTAAAATGGTACAGCCACTTTGGAAAACAGTTTGGCAGTTTCTTAAAAGGTTAAATATAAATTTTCCATATGACCTAGTCATTTCACTCCTAAGTATCTACCCAAGAGGAATGAAAATAAAATTCCACATAAATACTTACATACAAATATTCATAGCAGCACTATCCATATTAATAATAGCCAAAAAGTGTCTCAAGAGAAATGAAAACATGTCTCCAAAAAGTTTGCAAGAATGAGCATGGCATCTTTTTCATAATAGCTCAAACCTAGAAACATACCAAATATTAATATCTATCAACAGGAGAATAGATAAACCATTTGCAGTATATTCATGCAATGAAACACTACCCATCAATAAAAAGAGGTAACTGTTGGTAACATTCAACAACATGAATGAGTCTTAGAAACATGCTGAATGGAAGAAGCCAGACACAAAAGAATATGTTCTCAATTATCTATTATTTAAAGCCTGAGGACAGGCAAAACTCATCTATGGTGATAGAAATCAGAAAATGATGGGGGAGAAGGGAAGAGGGTGAACTGAAATACTTCTGTGGAATGCTAGGTATATGTTCTCCATCTTGTTTGGGGTGGCAGCTATATGCAGTTGCCAAAACCCACTTTTTGTAATTGAATGAGCACTTATATTGATTTTTTTTAATAATTGAAAGAGTGCTTAAGAGTTGTACATTTTATTGTTTGTAAATTATACTTCAAAAATAATTTTTATGCCATCTCTCTCATCTATAAGGCTTTCAACAGTTCCTTCTTATGGTGAAATCAGCCATTGTAAAGGCAAACTAGAATATATAATTCTGTAGAATCTGACTTTTTTGATTATGAGTGTGGTGATAGTCTTCTAGAGCATGTCTCTTTGTCTGGTCTCTATTCCTTTTCCTGCCCCTTAATTGTTTCAGTTCAGTTCTCTTCTTTGTCCTGTTTTCTTTTGTGGAAGGTATTTATTCTTACAACTTTATCAGTTTACTGTAGCTGGCCCCATTGTCTAAATCTCTAGTATTGTCTTCTGAATTTTTATTTCTGTGTTTCCTATTGCTTTTAAGCCTTTGTTTTTTTATTGTCCTACTAACACTTCAAATAAACATATTCAAAACTAAATTTGACCTCTTTCTTCTAACACCACCCCTGTCCCACTTTCTGTCATATAAGTACCATCCTCGTAACCATCTAGGCCAAAATCCCTGCAATCATAATTGCTTCTTCTTCTCTCCTTACTCTGTATCCTATATAGTTTTGAAGTCCTGTTGCTTTTTCCTTTTTCTCTTCTTGCCAATACCTTGTTCGGCAAAATTTCCAACATACAGGAATATTGAAAGAACTTTATAGTTAACATACTCCCACTGAGATATTACAATTACCATTTTGCTACATTTGCTTTTTCACATAGCTATCTATTTATGCTTTCTCTATCCAGGAAGATATATCTTCCTCTCCATTCCTCAAATCACCACACATTTGGATTATTCTTTGTCTTTTTTCCTCTAGTTACTTCTCCCACTTTAATATATCCTTTATGCCAGTTGTCTCCAAAATGATAATACTCAAACTGCCTACTGGTATACGGGAAGAAAATGTTACAACTTATTTTACACAATGTTATTATTGAAAAAAAAGAAACTAAGCTCAGTACTATGTTAAATACAGATTGGTAATGGCATTTTTCCTCATTCCGTATGTCAGATTATCACATATGCTGGCCAGATTGTCTTGAGGGAGGAATGGGTGTGACACCCTTGCCTTATTTTCAAGGGCACTGTGAAGTTTTACAGTTCACTTGTGCCCAGTTAAGTGGATTTATAGACTATGTTATATAGTTTTTAAAGTAACCCACACAAAATGGAAATGTTGCTTTGAAAGATTTCTGCAAAGATACTGCTGATTGAAGTGATACAAATATATGTAAGCCCAGGCTAATAGTGAGAAAATGGCAGGGCTGATACTCTTTGTACACCTCATGTGAGATTTTTTTCAACCTCATTGAGGTATTACTAAAATAGTAATAATTGTTTATTCATCTCCTTTTGAAATATCTATTTTTTCATATGCTTTGTTATATACATATTAGTAGAGTAGCATATATATACATGAACAAATATATATATATATATATATATATATATATATATATATATATATATATATATCTTAGGGGGGCAGATGCTCAGATTCTTTACTGAAAAGGCTACATGATCAAAGAACTTTGGAGACATAGACATTGCCTAAGATTACTAAATTAATCTTTCTAAAACTAACTTTCTAACTCTCTCTCTCTTTTGTTCCCTGTTGTCAGCAGAATAAAGTCCAGACTCCTTGGTCAAGTATTAAAGATTTTTTATAATTGAATCATATTCTCTATTTCTTTTTCAAAGTGTTTTCATGGCATAAGTCAGACATATTTTTGTCCTTGCCTTTGCCATATGCTCATTTCTTCTGCCAGGAACCAGCCTTGTTCCCTGTGTCCCCTGACTATTGTCCTTCTAAGTTCAAACCTAAAGTATAATTCCTTTGTAGCTTCCTTTGTTGTTCTTTTCCAGGTCAGAATTAGATATTCTCTCCTTTGTGCTCAGTAGTATCGTATGACATATATCTGTTGTAGCAAGCACTTACGTTGAATTAATTGTAACTAGATACCACACTCTTTAAGAGCAATGATTTTTGTCTTATCCATCTGTATATACTTTCAATAGAGATGTAAATGTTTGGAAGAAGGGAAAGAGAAGGGAAGGAAGGAAGGAAGAGAAGGAGAGGAAAATAAGGAAAGAAGCTACTCTGTCCTCCAAATTATTTTGGTGATCCTTCTTGGAAATATTTTTTAATCTCCATAAGGTTCTGGGGGAACCAATAAATAATAAGGCTGTCTTCATTCACTAGTTCATAGTCAATAGAGAAATAATTCACAGGAGATGGACAGCTGAGGTCAGAATGCCAGCTGATGAGTGAATGTGGCATTAGCCCTGCATCTGTATGGGTTTACTGATAGTTTCCCTCTACAGGAGGCTGGCTTCAGCACTCAGTCTCTGGCCTTTGTTCAGCTACAGTTTTCCTCCCCCAAGGCAGGCATGGTGGAGAACAGACCAGAACCCACCTCTAAGGGCAGGCTGGCATCCAAAATAGTGAGAAAACCCAAGAGTCCTCGAACCAAACATATTATATTCATTCTGTAAAACTCACCAGTCAGATAAGACATTCTTTCTTCCTTTCTTCCTTGGGGAAGAAAGTGAGGAAGCTCAGAGAAACTGGAAATTTTTCTCCCATTCTTTCTTTATGGAACTTGAAGAATTGGATGGGCATGTCCCCCAAATGCCCTTTACATTAAGGCTGACCATATGTCTTGGTTGGCCCAGGACTAAGCCTGCTTATTCCTGTTGTCCCAGCATAATTATTAATAGTGTCCCCCTTTATTCTCAAAAGTGGACAATACATTGTAGGTCATCCTATTACTATCTCTCTTAAGATAGAACAAGCAAAATTGCATTCAGTATTCCAGGAATGTTCAAAACCCTTTAATGTAGGCCTACTCTCTCCCATTCCCATAACTGGGTACATCTTTCTAACATTGCCTGTACTTATCTGGTGGGAAGCCTACAATTTGGAACCCTGTGCCTTTTTGTTTTATGCTCAGCCAAACTTTACCGCTTTCTGTGTGCACTTACCTCCCCCCTAAATAGGGGCAAAACAGCTCTACCAGAGACTATATTTGGTATAGACTATATCTGATTCACATTGATATTCTCTGCAGTGGTTTGAACAGAGTAGATACTGAAAAGAGAGCAACCATAATAATATTTTAAATGTAGATTTTTATAGTTTAAATATTTGTATTCTGATGAACATTTAAGATCTTCTAGAAAGATCTTACAGTTTCTAAAACTTACCCTTTTCTTCTCAGTCTTCTGATATTCAGAACCCAAATGTGTCTTTACACTGTATCTGATGATTTAATTGATGTATGTTTTCTCTTCTATTCAAGTAAAATAATTAGTGTTTTGGTTAAGTAGTTATCTTAAAAATACAACATCAGGAACCCCTTTTACTCTCAACCCACCCCATTACTCTTATGATGAAAGAAAGATTAAATTTATACTGAGACAGCTTAGAAATGTATTGGATATTGATGCCATTTTGGAGCTTAGAGAATGATGAAAGAAAATTATCAACTGAATAGAGCTGCAGCATGGGAAAGCAATTGTAATTCATACATTTAAACAAGAAAAATCCTATTTTGGGAAGAGGAAAGAAAGAAGGATAAATTCATGGGCTTTTGAACCAACCAGCTGCTTGATATGGCAAAAATAGTTTTGCCTTTTGAAACAACTTTTTGGGGGAATGCTTTGGCTTTATACACATAAAAAGATGGTTAGGTCTCTCCTATCTCAAAAATAGATAAACACATTTTCTCTTAGCCCTAATCCTCCTCTCCTCATAGTTCTTATCCTGTCTTTCACAACCAAGTTATCTATCCTTAAGAACTCTACCTCTCATTTTTCTGTTCAGTGACTGCAATGTTCTGACTTTTGCTTACCACCTTTTCAGGGTTACCCACAACCTCCTGATCTGGTAGACACTTTTGATTCCTTTTAGCCTTAATCTTTATTCCTGACAGCCTTGCAGAGCATTTGTTAGTGTTGACCATGCTTCCGTCGTCTTTGGTACCATTCCCCCTGACTGTTCTTGCTTTCTCCATCTGTTCCTTAAAATGTTAGTGCTCCTAAAGTTCTATTCTCCACCTTTTTCTAGTCACAGTTTATCTAGATAATCATCTCCATTGCCATAGATTTAGCTACAATGTCTCCCAAATCTTATCTTCTTATATTTCTCTCTTAAGTACCAGCTTCATACTGCCAAGAGCTTGTTACGTATCTCTATCAGGATTTTCTACAGGCCACTCAGATGTAACACCTTCGCTTCCTGCCTTCAACAAATGACATGACATCCTCCCACTTGCTTGAGCCAAAAACTGGTTATCATCTTTTTCCTCACCCTCTCCTCTTTGTCGTAGTTAACTACCAAGTTCTATCTACTCTGACTTCTAAAAAACCTGCCCTTTTTTGAGTATCCATTGATGACAGGCACTATACTAGACACTTTTTATATATCATCTTATGTCCTAAATTCCTCTAAATCCAAATTAATTCCTCTTTTTTATTCCCACAGCCATTTTCATGTTTACGTATTCAATAAATATTTGATAACGTATTATTTTCATGCCTGAAGAGCCAGAAACCTGGGAATCTGGTTGGGCTCCTCCCTTTCCTTCCTCCCTCGATCCTGATGGTAGTCATTAAGTCCTATTTCTTTGACTTCCTTGTATCTATTATCCATTCTACTACCTACTACCACCTTAGTTCCAGCCTTCATAATTTCTTATCCAGTCTATTAGTATTTTTCTTATTTGTCTGCATTCATTCTCACTCCACTCCATCTATTCTATTCTTCTGCCCATAATCTTTCTCAAATATAAATTTGATCATGTCACAGTCCACCTTAATCAGTTCCATCATCATCAAAATAAAGCTCAAACTCTTTAACACAGCACTCCAGGAATGTCCTTTGGTGCTTGTTCATAAAATTCATCTCTCTTTATGTATAACCTTCACTCCGATTTACCAAATTATGTGTAATTACTGAAAATGCCAGGCATTCTTAACCCCTCAATGCCTTTTGGTCTATCTGGAATGACCTCCTTCTCCCTAATCCCAACTCATCTTTTAAGACGGCTAAACATCACCACTTTTAGAAGGCTTTCCTGATAGCCACTCTTACAGGCAATTGGTGGTCATTCCTCTGCACTCCCCCCAGAAAGATTGTGTTTATGTTCATCTTATCATTTATCTCTCTCTCTTCCTGTCTAGACTAGGAACTCCTTGAGATGTATTTTGTTTCTAATTTCTATTTCTGTATAAGGAAGAAGGAGAGAGGAGGAAGAGAAGGGAGGAAGGGGGAAAAAGGAAGAAAGGAAATGAGTGAATGAATTGATCCAGTGCATAGTACATCAAATTGCTAGGTATTTTAGTCTTGCTTTTATTACCTTCATTTTAAATGGGCAAATAATAACCACCTCTTTATCTGTATTAATCTGTCCTGCAAAAAACTAGCTAGTAGTACTAGTGGTAAGGGCTTGAAATTACTAAAAGTCCAGGTGTAGTGGTGTATGCCTATAGCCCCAGCTACTCAGGAGGCTGAGGTGGGAGGATTGTTTGAGCACAGGAGTTCCAGTCCAGCCTGGCCGACATGGACCCCATCTCAAATTAAAAAAAAAAAAAAAAAAAATTACTGAAAGTAACCCAGAAGATAAATTGCCACATTGGTTTGCTCTCCAAAAGAAAGGGCTGTACTTAGTGTGTTAGTTGCTAATTGCTTTAAAGTGCTAACTAAACTGCTAAATCAACTTCTAAGTTAACACTGAAATATATTTGTTGATCTTTTATCTTCATTAACTATTAATACATCCTTTTTTAGTGAATTTTTCAGATATCAAATGGACTGTTTCAGCTATCTCTATAGTCCTTCAATGCTCCAAACTTCTCTAAAGACAAAGCATAAATCCAGCTGTGGTATGCTTGTAGAATTCATCCTTACTCAGCGCCGTTCACTTCCCATGGTATTTCAAGAAAATTTCTATTAAAGAAAAAATATTTCTTTTGTTGAAGAACCATATGATAATGCTTTGGTAATACTGTTACAGTGCATTTTTATAGATATAATTCAAAAAATACTCTTATCCATGTAACAGTTGTTTGGTGATAAAATATTGTACCCATTTAATTGATGATCGTTTGCTTCTTAGCTATGGAGGATAAAAGTGAACTGAAGTACATCTCAGTTCTTCTTAGTTTTATGTTCTGTTTTCACATATTTCAACTATTTGAATATTTCAACTATTCTCGCTTTTTCCACCTCAGACATTTCAGCCAGGTCTTTCAAAGGAAAACCACAAAAACTCACCAAACTTTGAAACCACAAATCAATATATATGCAGAAAAATATGCTGGAGAAAAGGGGTAGGGTAATTCAGAATTTGTCATCAAGAGGCTAGTCATCTGTTCCTTTCTTTTATTCTGAATGCAGAACAGTCATTTTTATTAGAGCAAAACAGTTTGTATAGCTTGACAAGTTCATTATAATGGGATTTTTACTTACAAAGTTGATATGTCATAACTGAGGCTAAATGATATAAAACTGATAAGTCTTTTGATATAGTCTAAGCCTGTTTGCTGTCCAGCATACTTCATTTGTGTGTGTGTTTCAGCGTAACAGAAACACTCTAAAAGAAATTGAGGCTAGACATGATGGATCGTGCCCGTAATCCCAGCACTTTTGGAGGCTGAGGTGGAAGGATCCCTTGAGGCCAAGAGTTCAAGAGCAGCCTGTACAACATAGTGAGACCTCATCTCTACCAAGGAAAAAAAAAAAATTCACTGGGTGTGGTGGCACATGCTTGTAGTCCTAGCTGCTCAGGAGGCTAAGGCAGGAGGATTGCTTGAGCCCAGGAGTTGATTATAGTGAACTATGTTCAGGCCACTGCATTCCATCCAGCCTGAGTGACAGAGTGAGACCCATCTCTAAAAAAAAAGAAAAAAAATTAACAGCAACAACAACAAAAAGCAATTGAAAGTAAAAGTGTGGTACATCATAGTTTACAACTGTGGGTTTTTTTAAAAATTCCTTCCTGCGCAACTCGTGTATATAATTGATAGCACTAGAACCACCTGCTGGGAACGTTCCTGCCAGCCTAATCCATGTCTTGCTAATAAGATGGTTCTTTAGGAACCTTAATTTTATAAGGAATCAGACAAAGTGGAAAGGAAAAGAGGATTCTTTTTTGACAGGGTCAGTTAATGTTGAAAAGACTAGAAATATTTTTTAACTATCAGAAATTCAACTACCTTTGGTATTTCTGGTTGTATTTTATTGGTCAGTTACTTGGAATAAATAATAAATAATAATGCTACATAAGATATTTCTTTGTTACTATTCACACATACTACACAAGGTGCCATGGTAGTTAAGTTAGTATTCCTTCAGATACTCAGATCAAGTTAATCCAAGGGAAAGGAGATACTTTCTTAGGTTTTAAGCAAATCTAGATTGCCCA